AAACGTGTTTGCTCCTACACCTTTTAACTGAAGCGTGTTTTGGTTAAAACATTGGACGGTTGAGATGTTACCAAGTGTCGCCCCAGCTGCCGTTGGATGGTGACGCTTCTGGAGACTTCTCTATTACTAGGGTTTGAGATCTTTTGGACGATTCATTCTCTCATTCGATTCAGTCTCTTGGTCTCTCTTTGCTCTCTGTTCACGCCGTTCTTCCTTTGCACTCTAAAACTGATTCTCCTGTAAATCGATTGTGGTTTAGCTTATATACATCTCTTGAGTGACTTGTAGCAAGGCTGATTTGTATCCTTGTGTGGATTCAATGTCGATTTGTGAGGGATTCTTTACTTTGAGGAAATCTTTAGTGATTTTGCCTGAGTGCCTTTGTGTAACGATGAACTGGCTTTGATCCTTGGTTTTATATAGTGATTTCTTCCGATTGGCGGAAGCTTAAAAGGGGAGTAGGATTTATTCCGAACCTCTTGCCTTAGGGCGAAAAATCTTGTGTTCTTTTACTGTTTCTTATTTTTCTTGTGCATTACTTTTGTTGTTCGTGAGTTTATACAACTGATTAGTGGCTTTTAATCTCTACAATATTTGAAGGTTTTTTATTCTCTATCAACAATTACCAACTAAACTTACTGCATCAAATTATTAATTCATTCATTTTATCGATCTATACATACTTAGATATACACTTATAATCTTGTATCTATACACCTACGTTTCATTTTTGAGTCCTAAGCTATGCATTATTCCTTTCATTCTTAATTTTCTTGTTATATATATATATACTTAGTTATAAACTCTAACATTATCATTTTCTTGATCTATATATAATTAATGCATGGGAATATGAGATAGGCGATGCATTCTTGAAAAACTGATATTTGAGCAGAATAATTGTGATTTTGTTTCTGTTTTTCGTCATTTTCTGAATTCAGTAAAGGGTTCCTTTTATTACGCTTAGTTAATTATAGTGATTATTTCTATTTATTTACTTATTTGACAACAAATTATTTCTTTTTCTTGGAGACATTTTGTTGTACAAGAAAACATTTTTTCTTCACCAGAAGTTTTGTGATTGACTGAGAAAAGTAACAGGGCTTCATTTTTTATAAATTCAGTCTATTTTTCATGGTTCAAACATTGCCTAAAAATGAAGTCTTTACTGTTATTCTTCAATATGTTGACTGTTGATAGTTTTATTACAGCTTAGTAGGTGTGATTGGAGTAATAAGGTGTGTACTAACTCTATAGAAGGATTATCAACTCATACTCTTCAATATCAAACTGATGACATCTGATAATGAAAGATGTATTCGCGTTATCATTTGACTCCGTCGGATGATTCTGTCTGATCTAATTTGCTACCGAGGAAGATGTTGAAGTGGGAAGAGGAATTCAACTGGGCAATGATGTATCGAAAAAATAAAGAATTCCGGGGCGACTAATGGGATCCCTGAAGGTTTGCTTAATGAAGTACCGTTGGGCGATGTGAGATTGGATCCTAATTCGATATTTGGACAGGCTCAGCAGACTAATATAGAGTATCTACTGATGTTGGATGTCGATAGATTAACGTGGAGCTTTAGGAAAACTGCAGGTTTGGAGACGCCTGGTGAGCCATATGGAGGGTGGGAGGCACCAGAAATAGAGCTTCGGGGTCATTTTGTAGGTCGGTTTTGTGTGTACATCTTTCGATTTTATGTATTATTTCCATGCAATTTTACTTGCTCATTATATATGATCCTTTGCTTATATGTTGGACTCTATAGACCATACTAGACACTTAAAAGGGCAGTAAATCTCTATGAATTCATGTACAATTTGCTGTTATTATTGATCTCGAAAGTAGAGATGTGGGCTTATCAATAAAAATGTTTTGAAAATAAAGCAATCGATGCTTTTCTTCCAAATGACTCAATTAAGATTCTTAATTACCTTGTCATTCGACTGCTTGGCAGCATTTTCTGTACTTGGTTTGATTGTTTTATTATTTTGGCTCTACTTTAGATATGCACTATGTAAGTTTCTGCAGTAAATTGTTAATTATTTTTACTGAGATTCAATTTAATATATCGAAGGGCAGTACCAAATGTGGGCGAGCACCAAAAACAACACCCTCAAAGAGAAATGACTGCTGTAGCTTCTGCTCTATCCTTTTGCCGGGAGAAAATCGGGACTGGCTATCTTTCTGCTTTCCCTTCAGAGCAATTTGTTGGTCTTGAGGGTATAAGACGTGTTTGGGCACCTTATTACACAATTCACAAGGTACAAAATCTGGTTTTTGTATGTTAATGGTATGTTTGGAATGATAGATTACTCAATACAGGACGGCATTAAGAAAAAAAAGACTGGCTTAATTTTTTTTATCCTTTTGGATTTGGTAGATTTTGGCTGGCCTTTTGGATCAGTATCCTTTAGCTGGCAATTCTCAAGCTTTAACAATGGCAACATGGATGGTTGATTACTTCTATAACCGTGTAAAAAATGTGATATCGAAGTACACAATTGCACAACATTGGCAGTTATTGAATGATGAAACTGGGGGAATGAACAATGTTCTCTAGAGATTATACAACATTACGGTATACTCCAATTTATAGTACTTACGTTCCAAATATCCAAAATCTTAAAGACAAAAAATCTATTGGAAGTGGAACTACTCGCCACTTGAGATTTTTCTCGACTGATTTTCTAGTAGTAATTATCCAATTTTATGTGATATGCAGGGCGATGAGAATCACTTGGTATTGGCTCATCTTTTTGATAAACCATGTTTCTTGGGATTGCTAGCATTGATGGTACTGTATTTCTTTCGATGTTAAGGATTCAAGATGACATTTATTTTGAGGAAAGAAGATCTTTAAAGAAGCTAAAATCTTATTTATATTGCTATCTAGTCAAGCCAGTAATCGCATTTTAGATCGGCAAACGTATTATTTATATCTTGTAGGTTGTTGATATATCTGGATTTCATGCCAACACTCATATTCCGGTTGTTATTGGATCTCAAATTCGGTATGAGGTTACTGGTGATCCACTGTATAAGGTATTTTATCTCCCATTCTGATAAGTCTGTGTAATTTGTTTTTCATCCAAGTTTCGATCTGCACTCAAATTAACTATAAGGGGCAGGATATCTATACTAGCATAAAGATAAACGGGGTGCGGTTCTTGGTGGTCGTGCTAGGTCGGCCGGTTTTACACCCCTAAATGTTAATGGAAATGGATACTCATTTGCCAATATCACACTATCTCGAGCCGGGCTTCACATTTTCTAATCTAATGATTGTGTTTTAACTTGGATTTGTCAGGAAATTGCGATGTTCTTCATGGACATTATTAACTCCTCCCACAGCTATGCGACGGGAGGAACATCAGTTGAAGAACACTGGTACAATGGCACTCCACATAAGCTGCTAATTTAAATTTGAGAATAACATTGGTTACTTTTCCTTGGCAAAGTTTCTTATTTCATTATTCTCATTTTGTCAATCTATTTGCAGGTATGATCCGAAGCGATTAGCAAGTACTCTACAACCGGAGAATGAAGAATCTTGTACTACCTATAACATGCTAAAAATGCACAAATATATATATATATATATATATATGTGTGTGTGTGTGTGTGTGTGTGTGTGTGCAAGTATTCACATGGATGTCTGTCTGTGATATTGTAGATTTCGCACAACCTGTTCAGCCACACTAAGGAAATGGCGTATGCAGATTATTACAAGCGAGCTTTGACAAATGGTGTTCTGAGAATTCAAAGAGGAAGAGATCCCGGTGTTATGATCTACTTTCTTCCACTACAACCTGGTGGTCCTAAGGCTAGAAGTAAAGGATGGGGAACAAAAGACGACAATTTTTGGTGCTGCTACAGAACAGGTAGTGCATCCGTAAACCGGATTAAACAGGACTCGATATTGCAGTAAACAATAGTACACCGTCCTTTTCTTTCTTACCATTGAACAATACTGTCAATCCATGTACCAATCATGCAGTTAACATATCTGTCACGATTTTTAAGATGCTAAAGACGGAACGGAATTCTGATAGTTCTCCATTTAATGCTGTAGGAATTGAATCGTTTTCGAAATCGGGAGACTCAATATACTTTGAAGAGAAGGGAAAAATCCAGCTCTTTACATCATCCAGTACATACCTAGCTCACTTGATTGGAAATCGGGACGTATTTCCCTCAGCCAGGAGGTCTAGAGTGTTGTTTCATGGCATCAACACCTTCGAGTGAAAGTAAAAATTTCCTCAGAAAAGGTAGTAATATATTTAAGCAAGTATACTGCAGTCTGCAAATCTTTAGTCTTTTGGCTATCTAACGTCACACGGTACCCTTTTTTTACAACACTAAGCAGGTGGAACATCTACATTGAGCTTCAGAGTACCCCAATGGACAAATCCTAGTGGTGCAAAGGCATCATTAAATGGTCGCGATATTCCCGAAGTAACTCCAGGCGAAAATTATCCTCTTCTTCATAATCTTACACGTGGTATTGGATAGTATTATACAGAAAATGAACAAAAATTTATTCTGTCCTTAGTCTAATGCGTCAAAAATGTCTTATACTTCTTTTATGCAGGCAATTTTCTCACACTCACTAGAAAGTGGAGAAGTGGTGATAAAATTACTTTAGAACAGCCCATAAGTCTCAGAACAGAGGCTATTCAAGCTATCTTCTTAGCTTGATCCGTTGAAAGTTTTCTGGTAAACATGTATTTTCTCTCACGTGATCGAGAATCTATTTGATGACACATTTTTTTCTTGTGCTTCAGATGACCGGCCCAAATATGCTTCTGTTAAGGCAATATTATATGGCCCCTACCTTCTTGCTGGTCTTTCCAATGGTGATTGGGCAACGGCTTCTTTTTCCGACTGGATTAGGCCGGTTCCATCTACATAAAATATTCATCTGATTTCCCTTGCACAAGAATTCAAAAACGAAGCTTTTGTCGTGTCAAACTCCAACGATTTGATCATAATGGAGAACTTACCCTCAGCAGGAACTGATTCTACAGTCAATGCAACTTTTCGACTCAACATAAACCATGCTAATGCCATAACAATTACAGATCCAAAACATGCTATTGGGAACTCTGTCGTGCTAGAACCATTCAACCTTCCAGGCATGGTTGCTATGCATCAAGGAGTTAATAAAATGAGTTATGCTACATGTACAAAGTTGGATTACAAAGTTGGTTGACAAAATAACATCTACACCAATCATTTTAAAAATAGATTTTTAAATCATTTGAAATCAATAGTCTGGATTTTGCCAACACACTTTGTAACCCAACATTTATAATTCAACTTTGTACAAATAGCTTTATTGTAATAAAATCTTCGAGCGTCAGTTTCTTCACAGTCCGATTTTTCTACATTTTGCTTGATTCACGGGCTGGACAAGAAAAGTGGATCAGTTTCCTTGGAATCTGAGGATCAAAAAGGCTGCTTCATTTACAGTGGAGTGCACTACGAATCTGGTACAGGCATTGAGCTTGGTTGCAATCCAGAATCATCTGACTGGCGATTTAAAAGCGCAGCGAGTTTTAAGTTGATGAAAGGATTCAGCAAGTATCATCCTATAAGCTTTGTGGCAAAAGGGCCAAAGAGGAATTTTCTTTTGGCTCCATTACTTAGCTTGAGAGATGAATCTTACACTGTGTACTTAAACTTTCAGGCATAATGTTCTTAAGCCACACTACATAAAAAGTTTGATCATATCATTTTAATATAAACATTGACAAAGTGGTTTCATTGCGGTTTTAATTAATTATAAGCGATTGGTTTTAAGTTATTGAATTATCAACTACTTTTGTCTGCCTTTTACTCAAGTCTCTTCCAATTATTTAAAATATTTTTGGTGTAGAAAGTCTCAAATTTAGGATCGATTATTTAAAATTAACTCAATTGGTCAGATCATGTTGACAAATTGATGGACTTTAACTTACTTTTTATTGTTTTATTTAATAAAAGTTACTTAATAAATAAAGTATAAACACTCAGTTGTCGATTGTCACTACATATTAAAAGAGGCAAGGTAAAGGCGGGACAGGCATCGCCATTTCCTATCGTCGTAAAAAATACCTCTGTTTTTTTTTTTTTTAATTCCCTGAAATTCAAAATTTTCCACACCACCATTCCTCCTTCTCCGTTATCGCACGCAACCACTCACTCCTTCTCCATTTTCTCACGCAAACTTCTCCTTCCATGCAACCTCATAAAATCTGTCTATCTCTCGAGGCATAGAGGCGGAGCAATGGCAATCACCATTCATGACTACATGTTACCAGGCGAAACCCACAACCTCTACGACGTCAACTTCTTCGGAGACATCATCCACACCCTATTGACTCAAGATCCCACCGTGGTCTCCCAATGGCTGTCAGAAATCCAGTCTCTCAACCATTCCCAAGATCACCATCTAATAATCGGCCTCGACGTCGAGTGGCGCCCCAAGTTCAACCAAAACATTGAGAATCCAGTCGCCATGCTCCAGCTCTGTGTCGAACGGCGCTGTCTAATCTACCAACTCATTCATTCCCCTTCTATCCCGCCCTCCCTTGTTGACTTCCTGTCCAACCAGAAGTGCACCTTTGTGGGCATTGGGATTACAGCTGACTTGGAGAAACTTGAAGAAGACTGTGGATTTGGGTTCAATGCAAAATTTAAGAATGCTCGCAGTGGATACCTATCAGATGAAGGAGTTGAAGAATTCGGGGCTGAAAAATCTGGCGAGAGTTGTGCTTGGGAAAGAGGTGGACAAGCTGAGAGGAGTGACCATGAGTATGCGGGATTACCGATTGCTGAAGCCTGATCAAGTGCAGTATGCTTGTGTTGATGCTTTTGTTTCTTTTGAGATTGGCAGGGTCTTGAATGTTGCTGGATAAATTGGGGTTTGTTGTGTTGAAGGTCATATTACTGATCGGTTTAGCAATTTTTAGTTGTTATTTTTAAACAAATTTTTTTGTGCACGGAGGCACATGGAGGCACCTCAGTGCGCTCACGGAGGCACATGGAGGCACCTCCGTGCGTGCACGGAAGCACATGAGGCACCTCCGTGCGCGCGGAGTTTTTTTTTTTTAATATATACCAATAACAATGTTTGAAAGACACAGACCTCTCCTTCCCTCCTTCAAAGGTTAGGGTTTCATTTCAATTGAAATTGAATTACTCAAACTACGTTATTCTAATTTATTCGAGATTTCAGCTGCAATCGGGCTACTCGTAAGGGTAAATGCTACCATTTTCTTTGCTGCTTACTGCTGTAAACCCATTTACTGAATTGAGGTTATTTACATATGCATATTTTAGTAATGCATAAAGAACCACATTCATTGCGTTTCTGTTATTTTATTTATAGAAATGTGTTGTGTAAATTCTGCTGGGAAGTAGTTTTGTCTTGAATTTTTAGTAATTGTATATAGATTTTTAGTAATTGGTAAATTCCTTCTCCTCTTTTCTTTTTATGTATGTGTTTGGTTCCTTCAATGTTCTATCATCACCTTGTAATTGTTGTGTCTTCACCTTGTGAAAGAGTAAATCTTGTAAGGCTTGCATCTTCCTTCTTCACAGGTTGTCATTGGAATGGATATTGCTGCATCAGAATTTTATGGATCGGACAAGACTTATGATTTGAACTTCAAAGAAGAGGCAAGTCCCCATATCTGTTGATGCTCTGTGATGTAAAGTGCATCAGAAAGCACTAGGGCACAGCATGATAACTATAATACAATAATATTTCATAATCACTAAATTGTATGCTATGTATTTGCAGAACAACGATAGCTCGCAAAAAATTTCTTGTGACCAGCTCAAAGATCTCTATAATTCATACGTTTCTGAGTATCAGATTGTATCCATTGAAGATCCCTTTGATCAAGATGACTGGGAGCACTACGCCAAGCTAACTGATGAAATTGGAGCTCAAGTACAGATTGTGGGAGATGATCTCTTGGTAACTAATCCCATGGTGTGTATAATTTTCTGAATGCCTCCGGCACTCCTGAAATGTAGTTTATTACCTTCAATCTATTGTCATTCGACTCATTCTTAAACTCAATTTAACTACATATTTTTGGATTTTTAGTTAATTTAATTGGTGATTGTTGTTATTGAATTTTTCCAGCGTGTTGGACCTTCTATGGATAAATTTAACAAGTGTAATGATAAAATAGTGAGTAAAAGAGTTCTTTCTATCTGTAAAATTTATCGGTTGTTAGATAATGTTCATCCATCTTCTATGCATTATTGTGTTATACGGCTTCAATCAGCTTGAGTTTTAGTTGCATCTTTAGTTGTTAGTTTTCATTTTATAAACTTGGGTTAAAGTTTGAGTGATGACTCAAATTTATAATGGAATTTTTGTGATTATAGCAAATATATGGAATGTGAAGATTTCGTTGACTTATATATTATTGGTAGCACTGTTTTTTTTTTTAAAAAAAAAACCTCCTTGTGCGCACGGAGATGCCCGGAGACACCTCATGTGCGCGTGATTTCATTGGCTTATTTAATCAAATTTATATAGTTGAAAAAAATGTTATTGGTAGCATTGTATATTTAAAAAAAAAAAAAATTTTCACGGAGGCACATGCCTAGGATGTGCCTTCGTGCAGTAGCATTGTATATTAAAAAAAAATCGTTGCCTACGTGCAAATTTTTTTTTTTTTTTTTTGAAATCTTGCAGAGCTGACTGTTCAAAATTCTAAGAAACCTAAAGTCGATGTCGAATCTGGGAGCCAAAATGATGACCCCATCCCAATTGTGATAATATCTGAAGCCCTTGCAAATTTCTTTGGAAGCGACGAACGGGAAATTTCACAAGCAGAGGTATTAAGGCAGATCTGGGAATACATAAAGGTCCACCAGCTCAAGGTCTATAAACAAGTAAATGGCTTTCATTCATCATTCCACTTTATTTGAGATTTTGTTTTTTCATGGTAATCACTCAACAAGGATTACAAGAGTGCTGCTCAGATTCACTTTTAATTAACTTCTAGTCTTACTCCATAAATATTTAAACATGCTCTCCAAATTGATTTTCTCTAATTTCTTCACGCTCAATAAATAAAACACGTGAATAGAGCTTGAACTATGTCTTTTCTGTGTAGAAGCTCTATTCGGTTAAAGAATGAAGGTTACCATGTAAATTGTTTAAAACATATTCTCACTTTTTGAGAGGTTANATATTCTCTTCTTTTGAGAGGTTAGTTATGTATCAATCTGCTATTCCTGCTTGCATGGTTAAGGGAATCATATTGTGGTCACATTCACGATCTTTTCTCCTACAATTTTCTCAGTTCGGAAATGATTTATAAGAGAAATCTGTATTAGCAGCATATAATTTCTATCCAGTGTACGTTTTTAATGATAATCCTCTTCAATATATAAGCACTATGTTTTAGTATCATTGAATGTATATTTGTTTATGTTTTTAGCTTTTTTATTCACAGTTCCCATTTTTGTAGGCATTTCAGCTCATTCTTTCAAATCAAAGACAATTTTATGTTATATGCATTCCCTTCATCCGTTAATATACTGTAGGAACATTATGATACTCTTTTCTTTGAGGCTTTTTCTTCTTTTGCTAATTATGTTTTAATCAAATGGAGAAAAAATGCAATTGGAGTTGGTTTTTAGGATGAATGGAACTAAGTATGTGGTGAGAAACATTTACTGATTGCTTTCCTTAGAAGCTAGAGGTTGCTGATCTATTCAGTTGCAAGATAAATTTATGTATCACACTGTTTTCTCACCTAAAACAGATATGGTGATCCAATTCGACTTAAATGCACTTGAAAAATTGAAAGAAAAATTAGATTACATGGCAAAGATGGAAATGCAAGCAAGGAATATTTTGGGCTAAAACAGTTGGAAGTAGGTATCAGAACATTATTTAATGTTGGCACACTCTTTATGTGAGTACCGATAAATAATCACACCAATGTACCACCTTCTGCACTTGCTTGAATATTTGTTCTTCCTATATGATGTTGCTTCTTTTGATTTTTTAATGAAAATATTTTATTCCAAAACCAGCGTGCTCTCTCTTTCTGATATCAAATCACTGAAAGGAACTTATAATTTTATGATTTGAAGTATTGTGTTCTGCTACTTTTAGGATCCTCTAAACTCAATGACCATTAATCTATTGTCATTCTTGTATTTTTTGATTTTTAGTTAATTTAATTGGTGATTGTTGAAATTGAATTTTACCGACATGTTCGACCTTCTATGATAAATTTAACAAGTGCAATAGTAAAACAGTGAGTAAAAGATTTATTTTACCTTCATATCTTGTCGACGATAATCAACGAACGTGCAACGCACGTTCTCTTCACTAGTATTTTTAAACAAGTAAAATAAATAATAATGTAAAAATACGATTAAATATTTGACCAATATTTTAAAGCATCTTAACAATATTTTTTAGACAAAATCATGATTTAAGGACAATATTTTTTTTATTAATAAATTACTAAAATTAAGTGTGTGTTGAAAAAAAATTAATGATCATTAATATAATTAAAATATGATGTATTTATAAATAAAAAATTGTTACGATAAGTTGAGATGTATTGTTCAAAATTGTCCGTCCAACTTACTGTACATTCATGACACGTCATTTTACACATATTTTTGAGTAAAAGTGACAATGAGAAAAATTTTGACTGTGTCAATAAA